CATTTGCAGGTAAATGGATGGAACTGGAGAACATCATTCTGAGCAAGGTCAGCCAAGATCATATGACCAAAAATCATGTTCTCCCTCATATGCGGACTTTAGATCTACATATGATGCAGCAATGTGGTTGGACTTGGATCACATGACAAGGGGAGAGCACATACGGGAGATATAAAAATAGGCAGAAAACCCAAAACATGAAAGTGTTTAATGTCCCCACTCCAGAGGAATTAATACAGAGACCTTAAAGGGACAGAGGTTATCATGAGAAGGGATCAGTAACCCATGTAAAGATCAGTTAGAGATGAATCAGCATGGGTTGTAACACATGTGTACATGAAAGCAATGCTAGAAATATTTCTGTATAGCTATGCTTAACTCAACTAGCAAAAATGCTTTGTCTTCCTTATTATGCTTGTGTCTTTTCTTCAACAAAATTAGTGATATGGGCAGAACAGGACCTGCCTGGAACTGAGGAGAGCAGGGGGAGAGAGGGTAGGGAGGAGGTGGGTAAGGGGGGAGAAATGACCCAAACAATGTATGCACATGTGAATAAGTGAATAATTAAAAGTAAATAAATAAAATACTGGTGACAGGTGAAAAAATGCATTTTAAACAGCAAAGGAGGGTAGTACTAAGTTGAATACTTTTCAAGCATATTTGAACACAGAACACATTTTATTTATCTTCTTTAGAAGGCATGACTACTTTGTGTCTTTGCACACAATACAGAAAATGCATCTGTTGATAAGGAGGTTGCCAGCAGGGTTGCTCTTAGATTTAGGTGAACACATATGGTAAAAATACAAAATTCACAGTTAGCAGCTTTCATTCTACAAGTTCATTAAATTTTGCAATTGAGACTTACCTAAAATAAAAGCTAATCAGATGCACATATGGTCATGTTCCTTCACATTACTATCTGCCAATCTAAGGGATTTATTATAAAATCTCAGGAATAATAAAAGATGGGCTTATTAACTGCATAACAAAATACTATGATAAATATAAGTTTATTGTGAACTTTCAAGCTCTGATACTGATTTAGGAAGTTTATAAGTTGTTAGAGAAATCAAGCTTTGCAGATTAAAAGAGAGAAGTTGTTTTTTCTTTATCCAGTGTCAGGGGTTAGCTCAATGAGTTGAGATCTTTCTTCTTTCTTCCCATAGTTGTTTATAATATGAGTTTCCCTCTCATCACCACTGTAGCTGCATTCTATAGTTTTGGAACACTGTGCCTTCATTTGCACTGCATTTTTTTATTTCCCTTTTGATTGTTCTCTTTTTTTTTTCATTTTTATTAGCATATATTCATTGAACAGGGATTGTGTGAATTCCCAATACACTTACATTGTACATTGGTTAGATTGCCCTCACCATCTCTCCCCAACAATCCCCATCCCGCTTAAAGCAAGTGCAGGAGGGTTCATCACTCTGTTTCGTGTATGTGCATGAAGCCCATCAACCATATTCCCTCACCTTCATCCCTTTCATTCACCCTCACCCTTCTCACAAATACCACTCCCCCCATACACTGTACCTACTTTACAGTCCCTCTTTCATTTTTAATTCCTAAGTCAATGTTCAAAGGGTTTTCTCAATGTATCCCAGCTGTGAATATATTTTACTTTTGTCAGTTCAACCCTCTCTGTTACTTTGCTTCACTTACGAGTTACTTAAGAGTTATTTACTTAAGTGTTGTTTACTTGCCACAAATTGGCAAGTTTCCCCATTTCTTTTACTGCTATTCATTTATAATTTTCTTCCATTGTAGTTGGGAGAATAGAATATGTATTATTTCTGTCCTTTCAATAATTGCCAAAATTTGTTTTGTGGCCCAATATATGATCTGTGGTTGACAATGCTCCACATACAGTGTTATTTTTCCCCTAGTACTTGGGATTGATCTTGGTCTTCCTGGCCAAGTGCTCAATCTCTTGAGCCACTACCATAGCCCTTTTACTTTAGTTTGTTTTTGATATAGGGAGGGTATCACAATAACTTTTCCCAGGTTGGCCTCTGACAACCATCCTTCTACTTCTACTTCCTGAGTTACTGGGACCATAGATGTGTGTCACCACACATAGCTTGGTTGTTTTGACGAGGCCTGGGCTTGCCTCAAACAATGATTCTCCAGCCTTTGCCTCATAAGTAGTTGGAATTTATAAGCATGTACTACCATATCCAACCCTTTATTGGCTTTTTGAGACAAGTTTTGTAATGTATCAAAGGATGACCTCACTTCTAGCACATTGATCCTTCAGTGAGCTGTTACAGGGCAGTGCTCTTCCTGGATAAATATGTAGAGCTACTGAGTCTGTCTGAAGCTTTTTGATTTTTGCCTGCTACCAATTTTGTTCTTTAGTCTCTTCTCTCCTGCAAAGCTCCCTATATCCAGCCATATTCTTCTGATAGTGTCTTCATTTTAACTTCATTTACCTGGGGGGCTGTGGTTTTGCTCCCCATAGAAGAACCCCCATTCTCATAAAAATTTATCTTTGTATAGTGTCTTATAAAGGAATCTTTATTTATAAAGGGAGTGTCAATAATGAATTGTCGAATTCTCTCAAACTGGACACTGATTAAATCCAGAATTAGCTGAATTTTTTCTAATAATTGTATTACTGTCATATAGAATGGGGAAAAGTATTAATTATATATTCAGTCTATGTGTCTATAATGTAGTAAAGTGTATGGCAAATAGTAGGTATTTATATATATTCATTAACTGTATAAAAAAGCTAAAATGATACTTGCTACAATGACCATCAATAAGCAATCAACAAATGGACAATTTAAAACATAGGCAGAGAACTCTAATAAATAACTTACTTTTGAACAAAACAAAGAACTCTCAAATGAAGGTCTGAAGATTTAAATCACTTGGATATCATGTCATATGATTGATTTCTCTGTATACCTTGAGGGGTGCATCATTCTATTTTCTGCATGCAAGAAACTTAAATGGCAGTTTAGAATAATCAATTCATTGCCACTGTTCTTTGTAACTTGCAGGTGTACATAAAGCTAATTTAGGAAGGAAAGCATAATTCTCCTGAGGGTTTGGTTTTAACAAATGATAGATATAAATAGTTTTTTAATCACTGCCTGATGATCGGCTTCAGACTGGGCAGTCATTCATTCAACTTCAAATCTCTGTTGTAGCTCTGCTGATTCTGCACTCAACTAAGCTGAGAAATAAGTAGCTTTGACATCCAATGGCCAATGACTTCTTTTCTCCTTGAAAGAATTATACAAGCCAGTTATACATGGTTTTGTCTGCTTATATGGGTTGAAAGCAGATGGTGATTTCTCACCTCAGCTGGATAGAAGGGCTTTCAAAACATTTAGCAGCACTTACAGTTGAATTGTATCAGCCTGTGCTCCAGGGCCTTCTGGAACATGTGATTTATGTCTACAGATGCTTAAATATGGGTAATAGAGATATCAAATTCAAAAGTAAGGCAAACCAAGAACTCATGGTCTGTTTCTGATATAGATCAAAGTCAGGCTACCTATCATAACTGAACATAAGAAAAGCTCACTTAATTGAAATTTATCATCAGGAGATCCCAAGGATTTTTTTTCTTGTAATTATTTTACTTCTGACATTTTTTCAAGCCATAGTGATAGAATTTGACTCTGGTTGTATTTGACAAGGTTATCCCACCTTTTGTTGTTTTAATGCTTGTAATCTATTGGAAATTAGTTTTGCTTAGTTTAGCAGTGCTGTGGACTTCAGATCTTTTTAATCAAAAGATCTATACTTTTGTCCATATCCTGACAATGCCATTTCACAACACCTACAAGATAGTAACAGCTTTTGAGTACCACAATGCAATCAAGAGGGTATGAGTACTTCTGCAACAAACATATACCTAAATACCACAAGTGTTTGCACATCACTGTCTTTACTGAGCAAAGAAAGAGAAATGGCATGTAACTTCTTTTACCTCCTCCTCCATGTTTAATTATAACCAATACTAATGCTGTTCATTGTCAATCCAATCAGTGTCCTGTAAAGTCATCAATGTTTGCTCTACTTGAGATTTCTTTTGGCATCTTAATTCTTAACCTGAATTAAGCAACCTGTGTGATCCCCATCTTGGTCTGTTGTCACATTCATGAGCCATTCTCTTTAATCATAAGTGAGAATCTGTTCATGTATTAAATCAACCAAGTTCATAACTTATGGTTTGGGGATGTTCCTAACAAATTTACACATTAAAGATTATCTTCCAGGTGATACCAAAGAGGATATAGGAGAAGTTCAGGAAGTGCTAATGTAAAGGTCCCTCCACCCTCAGCAAATATCTACTTCAACCTACCTGACATCTTTCATGCAAAATTTCATAGTCTTTTGAAAAATTAATTTTAAAATATGATTGAATTTTTTAAACACTCAATACAATCAAAAGCAAAAATCAACAGAGAAAATAGTATGCATTCCACAAAAACTATTTACAAGCTATTTTGCTTGGCCACATGTTATCTGGGCAAATCCAAAAAAGAACAGTATGAGTCCAATGCTGCCACTCACAGTATCACAAACTTTTGGTGACAATAACTCATCCTGTATGTTGTTCACTCCAAGACCATTTTCCAAGTAGTCATGCCCCTCTCAGATTCTTTAAGGTTATTTAGAACATTTACATAATCTTAAAAGATTGTACTTCTCAAATTACATCTATCACCACAAGGAAATCAATTGATATGCTTGTGTATCTCAAAATTGCTACAGTGCTTTCTTCAGTTTTCTCAACAGCCTCCTCCAAATTCTATGATTCTCTTTACATTGAAAACCTACGCAATAAAAAGAGCACAAAGAGAGATTCTTTGGAAAAATGATGAAGAATGAAAATAGAGAGAATCCAAAATGGCAACTGTGACACAGTCACAGACAGCATAAGCTCTGTGAATCAGGGACCTGGCTGAGATGCTGGAGCCACGTTTGGTGGAGGTAAAGCAGTAGGAGAGCTAAAACTTTGGCACTCTGAACCCCTAGCCTGTGGAAGCCTTCTCCATACCATGATACACTGGCAGGCTGCCACCCCCACACTGTTGCCCACTGGCTGCTGCCTGCTGCTGCCTGCCAACTGCTGGCTCTAAATGAGCTTGGGAAACCTTCAGCAGACCAAACAGAATACTTTCCTGAAGGAGCCACACTTGGCAGAAAAAAACAAAAAGAAGAAAAAAACTCTGAAACCCTGATCCCCCAGCCCATACAAAGATTCTCCACAGCACATTACACTGAGAAAACAGGAGGGCTCCCACACCACCAGAAGCCAGCTCCAAACCTGCTTAGGAGGAGCAGACAAACAGGACTGGATGCTGAAGGAGTAACACCAGAACTACTAAGACTGAAATTCTATTGTTCCTCAACCTGGGAATTTCTTTTTTTTTTCTCTCAAGTGTTTGTATTGTTCACTCTTTGCAAGACCACCATCTCTCCCTATTGATTTCTTTGATTCTCTCTATATTTTTTTCTTTTCTTTCTTTTTCTTTTTTCTCTTTTGTTCTTGGTCTCATTAGTTTTACTATATAAGTTACCTAATATTAAATTACATACAGACCAGGGACAGAAATAGCACCAAGTGAAATGATGGGAAGATGATATAGGAATGGAAACCATCCTCTTCCAAAAAATAAATTAGTACAGGATCCAGAGGGAAATGAAGAAAGTGAATACCCAGTTCCAGGCAAAGATAGACTATCCCAAGGAACCCAACGAAGCCTACAAGAACACCCTAAAAGAAGAAATCACTGAGAATTTCATGGAGATGTTACAAGACAAGGTCAACCAAAACATGCAGGAGGCATTCAAGAAATTCCAAGACAACAAAAATAAAGAATATGAGAAGACACAACAACAAATAAGTGAACTCATAGAAGCCCCAAATAAATACAAAAGTGAAACAGAGAACACTATAAATAGAGAGATAAATGAATTAAGGGAAAAATATGACAATATTGAAAGGAAGTGATCTATGATATGGAAAACCTCAGAAAAAAGAATGAAACAGAAATACAAAACACAATGGCAGGCCACTCCAGCAGACTAGAACAAGCAGAAGACAGAATCTCAAAACTTGAAGATGAAATGGTAATTAAAGGAAAGACTGAAGAACTATTACTCAAACAGCTCAAAACCTGTAAAAGGAATATGCAAGAACTCACCAACTCCATCAAAAGACCAAACCTGAGAATCATGAGCATTGAAGAAGGAGAAGAGGTGTAAGCAAAAGGAATTCATAATATATTCAACAAAATAATAACAGAAAATTTCCAAAATCTAGAGAAAACTGAGCCCATTCAGGTAAGGAAGCCTCCAGGACACCAAACAGACTTGACCAAAGTACAACTACCCAATGACATATTATCATTAAAACAACAAATGCATAGAATAGAGAAAGCATATTGAAGGCTATAAGAAAAAACAAACAACATACAAAGGTAAACCCATCAAAATCACAGCAGATTTCTCAACAGAAACCTTGAAAGCAAGAAGATCACAGAGTGAGGTATTCCAAGCACTGAATGAAAGTAACTTCAATCCTATCATTCAAAATAGATGGAGCAATAAAAGTCTTCCATGATAAGCAGAAACTAAAATAATATATGACCACCAAGCCACCACTACAAAAGATTCTCCAAGGAATTCTGCACACAGAAAATGAAAGCAAACAAAACCATGAACGCACAGGCAGCACCAAACCACAGGAGAAGAAAAGACAAATAATCAGAGAGTAACATTGATTCAACCACACACAATTAAACCCTTAAACAAAGACAACAAAATGACAGCAATCACCACATACTTATCAATACTAACACTGAATGTTAACAGACTTAATTCCCACATCAAAAGTCACCATTTGGCAAACTAGATTATAAAAGAAGATCTAACAATCCGTTGCCTACAGGAGACCCATCTCATTGACAGAAACAAGCACTGGCTTAGGGTGAAAGGCTAGAAGAAGTTTTATCAAGCCAATGGCACCCAAAAACAAACAGGAGTAGCAATACTTATCTCAGACAAAGTAGACTTCAAACCTACATTGATCAAATGAGATAAAGAAGGACACTTCATACTAATAAAAGGGGAAATACACCAAAAGGAAATAACAATTATCAAACTACACGCATCAAACATCAATTCATCAAATTTCATCAAACATACTCTGAAAGACCTAAAAACATATATGGACTCCAACACAGTGGTAGTGGGAGACTTTAATACCACCCTATCACCAATAGATAGGTCATCAAAACAAAAAATCAATAAAGAAATTCTACAACTATATCACACCACAGATCAAATGGACCTAGCTGATGTCTACAGAATATTTCATCCAACTTCTGCATAATATATACTCTTGTCAGCAGCCCATGGAACCTTCTCCAAAATTGATCATATCAAAGGGCACAAAGCAAGCCTCAGCAAATAAAAGAAAACAGAAATAATCCCATGCCTTCTATCTGACCACAATGCATTAAAACTAAAACTCAACAACAAAAACAACAGTAAAAAACATGCAAACAATTGGAAGCTGAACAACACATTGCTCAATGATCAATGGGTCATTGATGAAATAAAAGAGGAAATTAAAAGTTTCCTGGAAGTTAATGAAAATGAAAGCACAACCTACTGGAACCTATGGGACCCAGCAAAGGCTGTCCTAAGAGGAAAGTTTATAGCCATGAGTGCATACATTAAAAGGTCAGAAAGACCTCAAATCAATGATCTCATGCTACATCTCAAATTCCTAGGAAAACAAGAATAAGCAAATCCCAAAACAAGCAGAAGGAGAGAAATAATAAAAATAAGGGCTGAAATCAATGAAATAGAAACAAACAAACAAAAATCATACAAAGAATCAGTGAAACAAAAAGCTGATTCTTTGAAAAAATAAATAAGATTGACAGACTCCTGGCAAACCTGACTAAAATGAGGAGAGAAAAAACCCAAATCAGTAAAATCAGAAATGCCAAAGGGGAGATCATAACAAACACCATGGAAATCCACGAAATCATCAGAGACTACTTTGAGAGCCTATATTCTAATAAATTTGAAAATCTTGAAGAAATGGACAGATTTCTAGAAACTTAACAACCACCCAAAATTGAACCAAGCAGCTATTAATCACCTGAATAAATCTATAACACAAAAAGAAATTGAAGCAGCAATCAAGAGCCTCCCAAAAAGAAAAGTTCAGGACCTGATGGATTCACTGCTGAATTCTATCAGACATTTAAAGAAGAACTAATACCAACCATCCTTAAACTGTTCCACACAATAGAAAGGTAAGGAAAACTGCCTAATTCATTTTATGAAGGCAATATTACTTTCACCCCAAAACCAGACAAAGGCATCTCCAAAAAGGAGAACTACAGGCCAATTTCCTTAATGAATAAAATAATGGCAAACCAAATCCAACAACACATCAGAAAGATCATGCACCATGACTAAGATTTCACCTCACCAGTGTTAGAATAGTCATCATCAAAAACACCACCACCAACAGATGTTGGCGAGGATGCGGGGAAAAAGGAACATTCATACACTGCTGGTGGGAATGCATGCTAGTGCAACCACTCTGGAAAAAAAATTGGAGACTTCTTAAAAATCTAAATATTGATTTGCCATCTGATCCAGCAATCCCACTCCTGGGGATATACCCAAAGAATGCGACTCAGGTTACTCCAGAGGCCCCTGTACACCCATGTTTATTGCAGCACTGTTCACAATAGCCAAGTTATGCAAACAGCCAAGATGCCCCATTACTGATGAATGGATCAAGAAAATGTGGTATTTATACACAATGGAATTTTACTCAGCCATGAAGAAGAATGAAATCTTATCACTCACAAGTAAATGGATGGAACTGGAGAACATCATTCTGAGTGAGGTTATCCAGGCTCAGAAGACCAAAAATCGTATGTTCTCCCTCATAAGCAGACTTTAGATCTAGGGCAAATGCAGCAATGTTGTTGGACTTGGGTCACATGACAAGGAGAGAGCAAATATGGTAGGTACAGGGATAGGTAGAAAACCCAAGACATGAAAGTGTTTGATGTCACCACTGCAGAAAAATTAATACAGAAACCTTAAAGCGGCAGAAGTCAATATGAGAAGGGGATCAGGAACCAGTGAAAAGATTAGTTAAAGATGAATAACTTGGGTTGTAACACATTTATACATGGAAGAAATGCTAGGAACTTTCTATATAGCTATCCTTATCTCAACTAGCAAAAACGCTTTGTCTTTCTTATTAATGCTTGTGTCTTCTCTTCAACAAAATTAGAGTTAAGGGTAGAACAGGTTCTGCCTGGAAGCAAAGGGGTGGAGTGAGGGGGAGAGGGTGGGGGCAGGGGGCAGCAGGGAGAAATGACCCAAACAATGTATGCACATGTGAATAAATGAATAAAAAAAAAGAATGCAAATACTCAAACTCTCTAACAACAAATTATTCAATGACTTGTGATATATCATGGCATGTAATACTATGTAATTTAGAAAAAAGAATGCCTATGCTATGAAAAGATGTTAATGATAAATATTGTATTACATGTGCCAAGCAGTAGGTTGAGTCCTACTTATATCATGATTTATAAGATTGGTGCTTTGCCTTTCTAAAGCTTTGAATCTATTTGTAGATACCAAAAAGAGATAAGTGAAAAGGTACAATCATGAAAGTGAATAGCTATACCCATGTTATAAAAGAAACAAATATGTTCTTCTGTGATTTCTGGAAAAATTAAATGTGCATGTATTCATAAATATAAAGTAAAAAGTCCCATAAATGTATCTTAAAACACTGGTGGCAGTTTTCAGGTGCTGCTGGTAGGATAGATGTTCATAACAGGTAAGCATGAATGTAGTCATGCCAGCTGATATCCATGCTTCAAGATACTATCAGTGCCCATGTTATGGTGGCTTATTACAAGTTTTGAATACTACCACTGGGTATTAACATTTTATTTCTATTATTACATTTTCCTTTAGTATCTACTTTTAAGCAGAATGTTTTGTCATTTCATAATTATAAACTATTTCAAACACACACACAAAGTAAACAATCATTTCTTTACTCAACATACAATTCTTATGAAAGTTAAGAAACTGGCACTTTTGTTTTAGAATTTTTCCTTTTTTTGTTTTTTTTTTTTTTTTGTGGTACTAGGGTTTTAGCTCAGGGCCTTACATTTGCTAGGCAGGTACAATACCGCTTGAGCCATGCCACCAGCCTTTTGTGAACTTTTTAAAAAATGTATATCACAGACCCAGTTAAGATCATAAAACTGAATTCCATTTTTCCTTCTTTTCCTTTACAGGTGTAGTCACTCTCATTAAGATGTGCTAATTTTATGTTCTAATAAAAAGAATTTTAAAATCAATAGACAGAACAGATGCAAATATATGAGTCATCAAAAAAAGTAAAGAAAAAGAAAAAAATGGGACAAAAGACCACAGAACAAAGTGTTATTATTAGAACAATGGAAGAGGAAGATTAAGTTTACAAAAGTCCCTAGTGAATAGATTGGTCAAAAGAACCTTAAAAATTACAAAGACTATTTTGAACAGTTCAGAGTAGACATAATTGAACTTGAAAATTTCCTGCAGCTTAAGAGAACCTTCCTGCTGAACCACTAAATTTTAAAAATATAGAAATAACCTAATCACTAAAACATCCTACTGATGCAAGAGTTCTAGATTCAAACTAAACAAAAGCATTACTTAAGAAAATTCCTTGAGGAAATTTAATATTTATAATATAGATAAGTTCATAAAAGTTTTTACTTACTTTTTTGACTGCCCAGATATAGAAGATGTGTATAAATATTTTCAAATAAATGTTTTAATCAACTACTATGAATCAGTCACTACGCTCGTGCCCAGATATAGAACAGAGTAGAAAATAATCTCTTCTTTGAGGAGTTCACAATCTTGTTAGTAAAACTTGTTAGATGACTTGGTATCTTTATGTCTCACGTGTTCCTACTTTGCGGAGAAGAGAGGCACATAGTAGGCACCAGCAGAAAATATTTAACAACCAACTCTTTGTGGGGGAGGAGGAGAATTCTGATATGTAACTTTTCCCAATCCCCATGATGTTATGATTTGAATATGAAATGCCCCCACAGGCTCAGACGTGGACAGCGTGGTCCCAGCTGGTGGCACCATTTTGGGAGATGTTAGAAACATTAAGGGTGGGGCCTACCTGGAGGAAGTAGGTCACTGGGGGTGTGTCTTTGAAAGATACCTTACCTCTGGCCCATTCTGGTCTCTGTCTTTGCTTCCTTGCTGCCATAAAGCAGGGTGCTTCCCTGTATTTCCTCGCAATGGAGCCAGCTGCCAAATCACCATAGACTGAAATCTCTAAAACCATAAGCCAAAAAATAAACTTTTCTTCTTAAATTTGTTTCTCTCAGGTATTTGAAAGAGAGAGAGAGAGCAAGAGAGAGATAAAGAAAGAAACCCACCTGATTAACATACATGGTATTAATATAGCCACAATGGTTGATTTCAAATTAATGATGCTATGTCATGAACATGGTATTAGAAAGAAATATACAACAGAGCAGTAGATTCATCAGTGATAACTAGCTCCAGCATTAAACAAATATTTTTTCTAGGAATAAAGAGCATTTAAATTACTATAAAAGAGTTTGGCTTAATATGCGGGAGAGGACAAAGAAATGATCAGTCTACTGAAAAGGAGGACTTGGGTGTTTTTGAAATCTTTTGATTCTCAATAGGAACAAAGTGTGATATGGCAGTAGTGAGACCAGGATGCTGCAAAACAACTTACAATCCACAGGACATCTCTTTACAAAGAACAGTTATGCAAATTATCAAATATACCAACAGTGCTGAGATCAAGAATCCCTGCATTGGAACAATAAATAATACTCTAGATACAAGGAACAGCAGGTGTAATGGAAATGAAGTATGAAGAAGAAAGGTATTTTTAGGAAATTGTAAGGAGCTTAATATGGCAGTAAGTTTAATGTGCAATGGGAAAACAGGAGGAAGCACAAGCTTATGAAGCAGAAGTTAGACCAGGCAAAAGAACGTGGGTATTTTACTAAAACCTATGGAGCTTGAACGATTCAAAAGTCATTTGTGAGAGCTGGGCATGGTGGCTCAGGCCTGTAATTCTAGCTACTCTGTAAATGGAGATCAGGGGATACTGGTTTGAGGCCAGCTCAGTAAAAAATGTTCACAAGTCCCCATCTCAATTCATAAAGTTGGGTGTGGTGGCTTATGCCTGTCTTTCCAGCTGTGCAGGCAGCATAAATAGAAGGACAGAGGTCCAGGTCAGCCTAAGCATAAATGCAAGACCTAGTTGAAAAGGCTGAGGACATGGCTTAAGTGGTAGAGTGCAAGTGCAAGTGCAAGGCCCTGAGTTCAAACCGCTGTACTGCCAAAAAAAAAAAATTATTTGCGAGAGGGATGATAACTCTGACAATCTCTTTTTGCCAGTGGTGACGACATATTTGAATCAGTGATTTCAGAGGCAAGATGTCCATTTGGAAGTTGTTGCAAAAGTTTGACTTTGAATTTCACAAACCATGATTCAGAGAACCCTAGCACACCATAAGAAGTTTCTGGGAATATGTGTGTATGTATGAAACAGGAAAAAATTTGAGAAAGGCTGTATACTATATTCCTTATACAATTCTGATTCAGAGAACTATAGTGGACCATTTAGCCTGGGTGTTTTAACACCCAGAATAATATAGAAACAGCTAGGGTTCAGAGAAGGTGCTTTCACTAAGTGTTTGTAGATCAATTTTCCTGATATAGGATATTTTTCTTAACTCAATCTTTTCCCATCATCATGACAATACACTCTTGCGTCTTCATAATTTCTTTAAGATAAGAGGCAGAGAGAATGTCTTCTGGTGTTTTTCGACAGGAGCTGTATCCTCTTTCTGGCATCCTCTATTGTGCCGTTGTTGAAATTACTCGCATCCTTAACTTTTTCCAAACGTTATGTACTTTCCCAACACACTGACTTTTCATAAATTAAATGTATCATGGTGTTTTTCAGACTCTAAATTACCAAATATTTCATGTTACATTGGAAAAAGTAAGTACCATAAATGACCACTAAATGAAATGAAGGAAATGCAGACTAAAGGAAATATATATAATATATATAATATATGTATTGTAATATATAATGTAATATATATTAAGATTATTTTAAGAAAAACAAAAAGACATAGGTATAGATATAAGCCTTTACATTGTTCTATTGTGATGAAACCAAATCTCATATTCAGATGCAGTGAACAAGGGATGAAGACACATTTTGAAACCTCTCATGTTTCAGAAAAATCCAAATTTTACGTGAATGGTTGGTTTCCATTCATTAATATCAGGCACATAATAGAAATGGTACCTGGTACCAAATGCTACTTAAAGGTCAAATTCAATAAGGACAGAAGTATGTCCACTGATTTAGAAACTAGATGAGCATTGCTGTATTTTGCTAGAGTAGTTTGAGTGGAGTGCTGGGCCAAAAGATATTATTTGGAGTGGAAAAACAGCAATTGCTTTTTTCTAAATTCCCTCCCACCTCCCCTATGAGATGCTTCCATTTACATCTTAGGCTGCAAAATGCCTAGAGCAATGCTTACTCCATTGAACCATGTTTATAAGCGATATACAGCCCCTTCAACCCCAAGCTAAGCTAAATATTAACAGGTAATATGTGGCTTGGACTCAGTCAGAAATAAGTACAAATTTTGTCACTGTCACATACTACTTGTGTGACCATAAGTAAGTTTCTAAACTGCAATCTTAATCATATTCGGGTAAATATTGTGAAAAGGAAATTATGTAACATAGTAGTCAAAAGTTACCATAATTAAAGAGTAGCTTATAGATAGGAAAATTTAACTTAATGTGCACAAATTAACAGCATTCCTTGTCTGAGATTTTTCTAGAAGTATCACTTGTATTCTATTCAAGCTAGTATTTATTGAGTACGAATTTAGAAAGCACTTTATTGTGTATTAAAGTTAATAATAAATACATGTAATACTAATTATGTAATACTTTAACTGAAGGGCATTTTATAATGATTTTAATGCTGACAAGAAAAATAAAAAGTTTTTCTTTAAAGGAATGATTTTGTTAAGACTCTTTTGAAAGGTCAAACTGAATAATAGAATAACTGTGATTATTATGAGTCAATTAAAAAACCTTCAGAGCCACAAAAAGATATGTTGATCTTTTCTTGGGACTTATTGCTTCCAAGTGACTGCTGACTTCTGTACTGAGATGTGTGAACTGCTGGTCAAAAGGGAGGGATTTGTGCAGCAGCTCTCAACTCAGCAAATGTCATGTTAACATCAAGATGAATTATCTTGAATATCTTGAATAGTAGTTGGTATCATTGGCATTTTTTTCTTATGAAATTGATCAAATAATGAATTCATATTTGCATATTCGTTCATATAGTTTTTTTATTAAATTCTATGCATGACATAAAAGTTCAGGGTGTGACAGTTCCTCAAGTTCCCACTAGTATACTCACACTGGCAACCCTTTGTAATATAAGGTGGGCAGTGTGTCTTACCCAGCCCTGGTCATAAAGCAGAATGTCACTGACAAAGCAGAACATTGTCCCAAGCCAAGCTCAGCAGATCAAGCTGGCCAACCCAAGCACTGCCTTTATCAGCCTTCTTCTAGTGTTATACTCAGTTTGACATAATTTCCACATTAGGAAATTGTAGCAAACCAACTGGAAAAAGAAGATAAAAACATGACATTAGTTCTTAATTTAGAGATGGTTGTCTTTCAGGGGTGAGGGGGCTGATATTATTTTTCTCTTCTGACCCCTCAGTATGATTTGAAATATTGCTCATTCACTTTATTATTTTACTTCTAGGTCAAGGTTTGATGGGTTTTGGCAGCTAGAAAGCCATTGTTTTTCTCCATCATTTTTCTTGAAATTTTGCTCTGTTTCTCCTACATCATCTGCTTTCCCTTTCTTCTGCATCAGCAGTCAGCACACAGACATATATATGTTAATTCATCCTTTCTTAAACAAAAGCAGAAAATCTATATTATACTTCAACTACATTTTTTTAAAAAGTATTTCAAAAAGATATCCATACTTACTGCTTACTGCCTCTAATTCTCCCTCCAACAACCTCTTGTTTACTTTTAAAAGCTCCCCAAGCAGACTTCAGTCCCCAGTGCTCCACTGAATCTTCTCATTAATAAGATAATGCATTGCCAAATCCTGGGGAAATTTTCCAGTTCTCATCTTACTGACCTTGTTGCAAGTCTTTGACATAACTGACCATTTTTCTTTTAATATAAATTTTTTACTTGGATCTCTAAGAGACCATGCACTCCCATATTCCTCCTGTGTCAGTGGTTATTTCCTTAAATTGTAATACCAGAGGATCTGGGTCTTGAGTAATCATTTCCTATCTATACTTTCAATTTTTGTAATTTCCACTAACTTCACAGCATTGAGGATCGTATGCGTGTTGTTAACACTCAAGTTTATTTCATCCACTCCATCTTCTTTACTCATCTTCTGGAATATATGTTTAATTTTTTTGTTGGAATTTCCTCTTGGGTATTTAATGAGTATCCCACCTTAAATATATATGGAGATCTCTTAATTACCATTCTCACCCCACGCTAGCTATTTTCCCAGTCTTCCTAATCTCAATAAATGTTATACTGTTATCTACCCAGTTATTCAAAAATATGGAATCATTCTTTATTTGTTATTTTTATTTTATACCCTATATTCAATTAATCCATTAATCCTGATAGTTCTTTAACTCCAAGGTATTGTTTTAATTGAACCACTTGACAGGCCCTCCCTTCTCTAAGTTACTATTATTTCCTAACTAGTTTATAGGTATGCACTGAACTCTTTACACTGCTTCTGTTCTTCTAAACTTACAGTCTATTCCCTACAATGCAGCCAGAGAAAGCTTTAAACAATGCCATTTTAATATTCAAAACCTAAAAGGCTCCCAGAACAAAATTCAGATCCTGATCATGGGTTTTGATACACACATGCCCTCTCCATTACCAACCAATCTCATTTCCTCTTACTGTTCCCTTTACTCATTCTACTCCAGTCCTGCTACCCATTTGGGACTTTCTTTCCCACCTCAGAACTTTGCTTTTCCTACAGCCAATCTCTAGGATGACTAGCCCCATATATTACCATGAATCACACTTCCCTGCCTTTGAATTTTACTCAAATTTCACCTCCTCTGCAGGGTTTTCTGGAGAAAATCTACCATCTATAATTTTATCCCCTCATGTTCACATATATTTCTTCCTAACAGTGGTCATTTTCTGGCTTTATATTTAATGTACACATGTATGTA